ACAGTTAAAAAAAAACTCAGAATAAAAAATGTATTATTGCGTTGAAAAAATAGGATAGTAAACTTTCTGTGGTTTGAAATGGAATAATATTTTGGAAGTGCAAAATTGGAAAATCGCTCTTAAATCAACTACGAAATATACAGATCAAAAATAATTTATTCATCCACCCTGGAGAGGTAAAACAATTGCCAAATAACCCCAACTTTAGGTAGGTGGATTCATTCCCCAATTACAAAATTCTCCTATGCCTTTCACAACGAAATTCAATCTTACGAATCAAATATTTTAATATTAAAAATAAAAAAAAAACACCAAGAAACGGAAAATCTAAATTATGCAAATACACAGGTTATTAGGATCGTGTGACGGCAAGTTTAATTATGGCAGTGGAGAACTCAGCAAGCGAGCGATAGCGGACGTTGTAACAAGAGCAGAATTTGCTCTAAAGACAAAAAAACCTGCCGCATATTATACTCTCTACCCGGTCTCCATTTCAACATCTAGTTGGGCAATGACAAAACCGCAAATTTTTACTAGAGACCGTATGTTCCGGTTTCGCCACGTGAATTTGTGCCTTCTAATTTCAATTAAATTGAATAAGTATGAAAATTACTTACATTAATTACGACACATTGTCAACAATTTTAAACAACAAGCAATTTACGTAATGTTAAATTATGCCACACTCTATTAACGATTTTAAACAACAAAGAATTTACCTGTGATTAAATTATGTTGTTATTTCGGGTTGTTAATTATATCAAATCACATTCACAGATTACCTCGTGGACCGAAACCCCCACATCACATACAAAAAAAAAAACACGTATTCAATATGATTAAAATCACAATCAGCTGGTCTGGGAAACGCTGCATTCTGGAGTGGCGCCGTGGAGAATAAATGTTGAATTCAAGCTGCAAAACTATAAGAAAATAATTACACCTGAAACAAATATTAAATTTGTAAGAAAATATCGAGCCCTTTACGGTTTGCAAGTCCACTAGGCAAAAGTAGCGGTTAAATTGATAAATTTAACCGCTACTTTTCAAGGTCCTTTTTCTCGAAATGGACCAACGTTTCGATGATTTTTAACGCCATAAATGAACTATCAGCAATCTCGAGTGAAAAATTCAGAAGTATGCTATAATTTAATACTTAAGTAAAAACATCCAGAAACTTTAGTGATAACTTGATAAAGAAATGCATGAGCCTGACTAAGTAAATTTCCTAACACGTGGTTTATATGAACAATTTTATGACTTTTAAATAATAAACAAAAATTGACGCCACGTGACGATATCGGAGAAATTTCACAACATTTCAGATTAGAAAACCATTATTAATTACGCCTGCCGTTGCTGCCGGATTGATTAATTTTCGTTTAAACAATGGCTATTTTGAAACCACAAAGTAAACTTAACTAGGTACCCTTCCTTAATGATCACCTCGTGTTTACACTAGCACCGTTACACCAGAAGTGACCAAAACGAGTCTGCAATTGTGGTTTCGTGGCGAAAATATGACTATACATTTTAAAAAACAAGGAAAAATATAAGCCCCGCCCACCCACCCAGTCTCAATTGTGACGAATTTTATATTCGTCGTAAGCCAAGGGGGCGGGGCTTATCTGCAAAATCTTTATTTCTCTACGAGAAATTAAAAACATGTTTTTGGGTACGCTGTTGTTCAAGAAATATTATGTATATTAAGGAAAAAATAAAGCCAAAGATTAGGTCTCACCCATACCCGCCCCTACCTCAATTCTCAATTGTGATGAATTTTTCATTCGTTGGAAGATCAGTGGAAGGGGCTTAATTGCAAAATCCATCCCTTTACAAGAATTTACCTTTTTAAACATGTTTTAAGTTCCTTGTTCGGAAAAGACGGCTACGTAACCAAGAAAAAAGTTTCAAAAATATGTTTTTAATTTCTCGTAAAGAAATAAGTATTTTACAGTTAAGCTCCGCCCACTTGGTTCACAGCGAATAAAAAAAAAACATCACAATTGAGATAGGGCGGGTGGGCGGGCTTATATTTTGTCTTTTCATTTTAATATGTGTAGACTTCTTTTCGCAACATGAAACTTAAAACATGTTTAAAATGGAAAGTTTGTAAAAGGAAATATCCAGTTTGCATCTTGCCCCGCCCCATAATTGCAAAATCCATATTTCCTTACTATCATGGTACATTTTAACCATATTTTAAGTTTCTTGTTGTGAAAAGATGGCTATGTATATTAAGAAAAAAAAAGGCAAAATAAAAGCCCCGTCCACCCGCCCTATCTAAATTCTGATGATTTTTTTTTATTCGTCGTAAACCGATGGGCGGAGCCTAATTGCAAAATCGATCCTTTCTTACAAAAAATTACCATTTTAGACATATTTTACCTTTCTTGTAAGAAAAAAAGGCAAAATGTAATGTAAAATCTGTTTTTGAAACGAATAGCAATAAAATAATTACTCCTATTAAATAGCAGTTTCTCCGAACAGGTGATTAAATGGCTTAATATAAGTAGACCTCATTATCTCTATCAAAATTTGATTTTCGTTGATTTAGTGCTGTCAACCAGAAAAATGTCTCCCTTTCTTCAAGTTTGCAGCACTACAACAACCGCAATTTGATTGGTTGAAAACCCATGAATGAAGGCTGATTTATGAATTGTAGATAAAAAAAAAACAAAATAAATATCAACATTTAACAATATCTGACATATCTGACAAAAATTTCCTATTCAACAATATAAAGAGAGTTTGGAAAATTTGTTGAGTATTTTACTTATTTGTGTTACTAACAAATGAATTGTGGAAGTCTTCGTCCAGCTTTTACTTCCTCTTGAAAAAAATGAAAAAATCGGCGGTTGTGATTTAAAATCAAGTGTTTCTAATTCTCTAATTTTCATTGTAACAAACAATTTCCACCTTATTATTAAAGTGCAGGTTCTATAAAAACTGTGCTCCTTTGTCAAATTCATCCCACAATTTTTATCTAACGTAATTCCACAAGTGCTGAGGAATTTTACTGCCGATAAATTTTCCGAAATTTTTTATGAGTACAAGTTATGCTCCTAGTATTTGATTAAAGTTCGGAAGGTTTAGCTCGAGGGCTTTAATTCTTGATAATGCCAGCGCGCTTGTACGAGTGAAATTTTCCTAAGCAAAATACCTAAGCAAAAATTTGGAAGATTTACACTAAAATCCCAACTCATAATGAGTACGGTTACGAGATCTTTTAGAAATTTTTGTTATTGCAAATAATTGAGGAGCAAACCATTGCAACGTCTTGAGTGGATGTGCTCGGGTTACAAATATCGCTACTATTAATCGATCGGAAATGTGTTTGAATGGAAGGGCTTCCAGTGTTCCACATTTTACTAATTTAGGCTGAACAACATTTGAATAGCGTTAGGGAGAGCAGTGGGGCACTCGAGCTTTATTTCTGGAAAGGGCACAAAAAAGGGAACCTTTTTAGACGCCAGAAGCTCAGCTTTATCTATTATTGGCTCCTCAGAGATACAACAGCTTTTTGTGATCAGAGCATGCCTTCCATTGACATCTGTCGTTTTTCAGGCAACCACTGTTAAACGGCTTTTAGGTTGGGAAAATCGGTTTTCGAAACTATTTTTATCGGCTGCATCAAAGAGTCCGGTTAAAGTTTACCATCCATTTAGGAATTAGCGCCCACACAATTAGATACTGTTCTCTGCTAATATTTCTTAAACTCATCGATTTGGTTCCACCCTCTGGTAAGTTTAATCTGGGGCCGACAGTTAATTAGTGCAATGTGTTGTAAATAACTAGTAAGCTAAGTTTAATTAGCCTCTGGTGGATAGTACAACTTCGTACCACTAAAAATACATTTTTCTTTACTGTTTCACCTTTCGCGTGCCAAATTTTTTTAAATAAATAAATAAATAAATAAATAAATTTTATTGACTAACAGAACAAAGTTCCAAAATAGACAATAGTTTAAAAAAAACAAAATATGAAATAAGATGTCCTTATAACTACAAACGTCTTAAATAATTGTTAAACATATGTTGCGAGCAACTGAAGAAATCTATATCTACTAAGTTATTAACCGCCAATCCTATTCTATTTACTACAGAAGTGTTGTAACCGAGATTTGTTCTTTTAATCGAACATAAGATTGTGTCCTGGTTCCTAGTATGTACCAAAGGTACTCTAAAATTAAATAAGAATAAGAATTCAAAACTATCAATTTGATTATTGAACAGTTTATATACAAACTTAAGCTCAAATTTTAACTTACGTTGTGTAAGAGTCTCTAGTTCTGTTATAGCAAGTCTTTGATTATAATTATAATTTGATTTATTGAGACCCATTTTAAACATTAAATAATTACAGAACTTTCTTTGTACCCTTTCGAGGCGAGTTTCGTGAATTGCATATGAAGGAAACCATATAAGAATGCCATATTCTAAAATTGGTCTAACCATGGTAATATAGAGCTTACGAATTGCTATGATGCTATGGAAATCTTTTTAAATTTTATTATCGTTTTGTCTTCTTGATGACTATCGAGTGTCCTTTGGACCCAATTTTATATTCAAATGTGACCATATTTTTGTACAAAAAGTCTATTTCTCAGTTTACTGTGTTTTTGAGTATGACATAAAAGCTCCCTGGAGAGCGGACGGGAGGTGTTGCTTAGGTGGGAGGTGTGGTGCGTGCCCAATTTCATTATTTAGTAGACCTCACACAAAATGTACACTTCTCTTAATATAAAACCAGAGCTGATTTTTAATGCAGACATTTTTAAATGTCACAAGTCGTGTGTAAACGTAACAGGAATAAAACGAGTTAATGGATCTGAAACTGAATTCAATCGAACAGGAAGGGTACATTTATCGCTCTTTAAACTCCGGTTGTTTAGTGAAGTTGAATACCATAACCGAGTTTACTAATATTTTATGGACACACTACACGTTCTCAAAGTTAAAACGCCAAAATTCGATAAGGGGTTTTATCACTTGTTCCAGGAGTCTAGTGCTTTGGAAGTTCAACTGGCGCCGACCGGTCGTGAGTTAGTGCAGGCCCTGAGAGGGCTCCTGCTGCAAGCCCACTGGCATACTTTCACTCTGTTGGTCGATCCTGCTTCATCTACGGCCTTGAGGCGCCCGGAGCTTTGGTCAACGCTGACTGCACAGCCGCTACATCCCACTTTGATAACGTTATCATCCCCATTAAGGGCACAGTCGCTTTTTCGGTAAGTCCAGCAGACGTCATCAATCGTTATTGATCGAATTATATTAAATACGTGGATAAAACGGAAATCTGACAACTTATTGAAAATTTGAACAAAGCAAACACCCAATTTATTGCGTTGTAACTTTTTGTCTCCGGGTTACTTATTTTTTTCATTACGTTGTGACAATACAATCTATTTAAAGCTATACTAACATCGCCATTAATTCCCGTGCTTGTTTACGGTGGAAAATGAAGTAATAAAAATTGTAAACAACGAAACGGTAACGATCCACTGTGATCTGTGTTTACTTCCATCCTCTAATTTGTAATTTTTGTATTTTCCGTTTGCCTTCCCGTGACACCGGATTTCAAAAAAATATATATCTTTGTTAAAGAACGTAATGTTTATTTTGAACTAATCGTACACTGACTGAAGAAATGTAAATTTTTATTTCCTTGTCATCTCAAAATTGTTAAGCATGTTGATTGTATTTTAATGCTTTTTACGTTCCAAGCATAAGCTACGGACGATTTAAAAAGGTATCTTTGATTACTGGCTAACTTCATCTTTACTAGACGTTTTACGGTTTCTAGAATATGAAAAAGTAGGTCTCCCGTTTCCAACTGTCTGTCGTTTGTTGGCATTGAGGGTGACTAAAGTCTCTGCTCATTTTTAGTTTTAACTAGTCAGTTATAGTTTTCATTCCATTTGATATAAAAAAATTGTAGAAAGTTATCTGGACAGAACTTCCCTCTGTTCCGGTTATTTATTTTATTTATTTTTACAATGTTTCGATTATTCAATGTTTAATTTTTTGTTTTTTCAGTTTCAACTTTTTCAACTGTTCATTCAGTGAATTTTTCATTTTTTTTTGTTTCTTCTATATTACAATATGTAACTCTCGAGTTTTCATTTTTAAATTATTCAGTTTTTTGAGTTTCCAACTTTTGGATGTTTCAATTTTTAGATTTTCTACTTTTTTAATTTGTAATTTACGAGTTTTAAATTTTTAATAAGTATTTCAATTCTCTGATTTTTCAATTTTTCATTTCTTCAGTTCTTCGATTTGTAGTTTTTCGTTTCGACTTTTTATTCTCTTTATTTTTTGAATTTTTGTTGTTTTTATTTTAAATATGTAATAATAATTATAATTTTGAAATTTTCCACCTTTTTGGATTTTAGAATTCTTCCAGTTTTGAGTTATCGGATCTAAAAGGTTTCATTTTTTCGAGTTTTCAATTTTTCGGTTTTGAATTTTTGAATTTCTAAATGATTAATTTTTCAGTTTTTTAGATACCTTCAATGTTACAATTTTTTGAATTTACAATTTTTTTATTCGATTATTTTATTTTCTTTAAAATTTTTCGAATTTTTTTAGTTTTTGGATATTTCAATTTTCGTTATTTCAGTTCTTTGATTTACAATTTTTCGATTTTTCGCATATTTGCAATTTTGTAATTTCTTGTTTTTCCAGTGTCTCGATTTTTGCCTATTTTTTAGTTTTTCGATTTTTAATTTTTCAATTTTTCAGTTTTCTATTTTTCAACTTTTCAATAAAAATCGTAAAATTGAAAAATCCAAAATGAAAATACGAAAAATTATACAACGTTGAAAAATCTAATGACTGGAAATTGAGAAAATGAAAAATCGAAAAATTAAAATTGTAATATCGAAAAATTGAAGAAACGGAAAATGAACAATTTGAAAGTCGAGAGTGAAAAAGTGAAAAAATTAAAGTTGTAAAAACGAAAAATTATGAAACCAAAACATTGAAAAATGGAATTCAATTTTCCATTTTCGATTCGATTCTATTCTTTTTTTCCATTTTTTCGATTTATTATTTTTTTGATTTTGATGTTTATCGATTTTTAGTTTTTCAATATTTCAATTATTCGTTTCTTGAGTTCTTCGATTTGTAATTTTTCGATTTTGTAGTTCCTCATTTTTCCAGATTTTCGATTTTTCAATTTTTTCCAATTTTTCAATCTTTCAACTTTTCGAACGAAATAAAGGTAAAAGTGCAAAATCGTAAAATTGAAAAATCAAATATGAAATTACGAAAAATAAACGTTGAAAAATCCAAGAACTGGAAATCAAAAACTTGAACAATTGAAAATTCGAAATATTAAAAACTGAGAAACTTCAAAATCAAAAAAGGACAAAATCGGAAAAACGAAATATTACAAAATCGAAATATAAAAATGAAAACAAATCGGAAAGTCGGAGAGGTAATTAAAAATTTCAAAAATTAGAAAGTTGAAAAATTTATAAATTGGAAAATCGAGGAATTGAAAATTTGAAACCTTGAATAAACGAAAAATTATAACATCGATAGAACATTGAACAAATAAAGGAAATAAAAAAACGAAAAATTGTAGTATAAAACCGAGAAAATGAAAACAAAAACATCGAGAAAATGGAAAACAAAAATCAAGAACTTGGAAAAATGATAAATTGTAATATTGAAAAATTGAAGAAACGAAAAATGAACAATTTGAAAAGCGAGAAACTGAGAAATTAAAGAAGTTAAAGTTGAAAAAGGCAATATGATGAAAACAAAACATGAAAATTTGAATTAAATTTTTCCAAAAAAAACAAAAATTATGAAAAACTGAATTCCATTTTTCAATATTTTGGTTTCATAATTTAACGATTTGTCAACTTTATTATTACAGCTTGTCGACGATTCCATGAGTTTTCGATTTTAGAATTTTGCGATTCGATTTTTTTTCTTTCTAATTTTTGATTTGTTATTTTTTTGATTTAGAAGTCTCTCAATTTTTAATTTTTCAATATTTCGTTTCTTCAGTTCTTCGATTTACAATTTTTGGAATTTGTAATTTCTCGTTTTTCCAGTTGCTCGATTTTTCTATTTTGCAAAATCGCAAGATTGAAAAATCAAAAATTAAATTACGAAAAATTATAAAATGGAAACCTTGAAAAATCTAATAATTGGAGATCAAAAACTTGAAAAATTCAACTAACGAAAAATTGAAAAATTGAAATATGAAAAACTGAGAAACTTCAAAATCGAAAAAGTGGAGAATCGAAAAAACGAAATATTGTAAAATCGAAACATTTAAAAAAAAATCGGACAATCGGATAAATAAGAATTTCAAAAATTTGCAAAATTGAAAAATTTAAAAATTTGAAAACTTGAATAAACCAAAATTATAAAATCGGAAAAACATTGAAAAAATAAACGAAATGATGAAACGAAAAATTGTAATATAAAATCGAGAAAATAAAAACAAAAAAGTCGAGAAAATGAAAAACAAATTGAGAAACCGAAAAATTGAAAAATCGAAAAACTAAAATTCAGAAACTGGAAAATCGAAAAATGAAAAATTGTAATATTGAAAAATTGAAGAAACGGAAGATGCATGCAAATACTGAAAATTTGTAAACTCGAATAAAGGAAAACTTATAAAATCGAAAAAATATTTTAAAAATAAAGGAAATGAAAAAACGAAAAATTGTTAAATAAAATCGAGAAAATGAAAAGAACTTGAAAAAGTGTGGGAACGATAAATAAAAAAAATCCAAAAATTAAAAATTGCATAACTGAAAAAGCGAAAAATTTAAGGAATGGAAAATGAAAAATTTGAAAGTCGACAAACTGAAAAATTTAAATGTTACAGTTTTTCGAATGTACAATTTTGACGATTACATAATTTTTGGATTTTACAATTTTTCGATTCATTATATTTTTGATTTTGTAGTTTCTCGGATTTTTAGATTTGCAATATTTCAATGATTACTTTTCCAATTTTTCGATTTTCCACTTTTTTGATTTTGTTAGTTTTGTTATATTGAAAAACTGAAGAAACGAAAAATGAAGAATTTGAAAGTAGAGAAACTGAAAAATTGAAAAAATTAAAGTTGATAAAACGAAAAATTACGAAACCAAAACACTGAAAATGGAAAAATTGAAAAAATAAAAAAATGAATACACGAAAAATTGTGTTATCAAAAAATTGTAGAATCCAAAATTTGCGATATGAAAAAATTGATTACGGTAATCTTAAAACGTACCCATGTTTCGTACTCTAAGGGTCATGAAACGTCAAGAAAACATAAAAGTAGCCAATCGCTCAATGGACTCAATTACAATACTCCTTTAGCTTACGCTCAGGAAGTAATGATGTATTTATTTCTCTTATCTTATCTATCTTATCTTCTTACTATCACACTTAGTAATTTCTAAATGAAACCTGTCGACATCGATAAACAATCTGTCAAGTATGAAACCCGTTATTAATGACGACAAGTTTGATGTATAACTTTGATGAATCGTAGTGTGGGTATACGTAGAGCAAGAAAATCAGTCTTCGTGTGTCGAATAGCAAAATGTGTAGTTACTAAATTAATGAAAGTTTTCAACTGCATTAACATGATGCCACCGGGCACGAAATTGAATACTTCAAAAGTGTATTAACGTCTGAAGACACATAAGAAATGCAAGATATTTCCATATAAATCATCCATAGAGGTGATTAATTCGGTGCACGGTCTCATATGAATACATAATGTTTAAGCTCAGTTACAGTAATCTCTGATGAAAGGAAAGTAAACAGAAATTTTAATTTTGTTTAAGCTTCGTTCGTGACGTTCGCCTATCGTGTATGTGACTATAATAGTGTCATACGTGAAAGGTGAAAAAATTAAAATTTCCCGCCAAAACCTGCTACATAGTGATACATTAACCCACCATATCACAGAAAACGTGCAAAAATAAACCCGTTTAATGTCTGATCCATCGATTTTCGCCTGATTTGTATGTGGCGATCCTACAACGTCCTTATCCTGCCAAGCAATCCTGCTAAGCGCTTGACCCCCCGCTAACTGCGTCCATGTCGATAAAACAACGTATCCTCGCCTTAATAAACATCTTTTACACGATGTTTTCGCGGCGTTGCCATGGCGTCGCCAAGGACATTTAGGGCCGCATCCTGCCGGATCACTGCCGAACCTCTTATTATCCTTCGTCCTAAAGCGGAGCAGTAAAAAGTTATACT